ATATTGAGTTTCTTCTACAATTGCTGATTGCTCCATTTGTAGAGGCTGCTGTTGCTGATAGTTTTGTGAGAGATTTTGTCCTAAAAGTAGTATTTGCTGCTTTTGCCGTTCTATTATGTTTTGCTGTTCTATTAATTGCTGCTGCTAGAACATTATTTGTTGTTTTGTGGAAACTTCATTGAATTGATCCATGGTACGGTCATTATGGCTTCGGCCATGGCATGGCCGAGCCCAACACTTGAAAATTCGTTATCACTTTTATTTGCTTTAGTATCACCACTTGTTTTAATATTTAGTCTATATCACAATTAATGTTACTATTTTAATACAGTTTATAACTAAACGAACAAATAGTTCTGATGAGAACGAAGTACACTGAGAAGTTGGCTTCGAATTGCGAGAGCTGCTTTCCACTGAACTGCTCGGTTCGCTGTCTCGAGCCAGACTATTGTAACGATACGCCATCTCTGAGAACGAAGACGTGCTGATTTTACGACGCTCCAATGCTGACAAATTGAACCGTTAGGAGCATCGGGGATTCGCACCACAGAACAAGGGTGCCGACCGCAGCAGCTTGCAGTTTGTCCAAGTGTGGGCGCATTTATGACCGCGAAAAGGAAGGAGGAACTCAGCCCGATGCAGGACCACCCGCCCTCACGGGAAACGAAGTTTCTGCGCACCAGCCCTCGGAAAGGTCACCCAAGAACAGCCGCCTCGTGTTTATTTATGACAACCATCCTGCCCAATGCGTCTGGTGTCGCACCGGTCAAAACGTTTCACCCAAGAAGAAGGATTTCAAAAAGGCACCGCGTGCAACCACCGACAACTGGCGAATTGGGTGGGTGGGGGGTGGGGGCGCCCAGCACCGCGCAGCTACGAAAAGTTAACTGCGTTCTACAAAAGGATATGCAATGGCCGCCGCGAACTTCTCGAGTAACTGAAAACAACCCGGAGAGTGCTTGTATGTCGCACTCCTTTGATCGCAAGAAAAAGGGCACCCTTCAGGCGCGTGGGGTGCGAGTGTTGCCGCCGAAACTCTAACGGCAATTTTTTTTTTATGTAAACCTTTTAGTATGCCATTGGTTCGAAAGCACCCGCCACCAATGCCCTCCAAACTCGATGCCGAGCAATCACACACTGGGATGTGAGCGAAAGGAGGGAGTTCCGAGCTTTCGTTATTCGAGAGACAGGGCCGCTAAGGCAGATGGAATCTGAGATGTGATCGAGGTCGAGCTGAGATATCGATAGAGACAGAGATGTGATCGAGATTGAGTTTGAGGCTCACTAGGAGAGCGCATCGAGTGCACAAATTAATGACCGAAGGGCTTCGAATTCAGACATTTACGCGAAGGCTCAGATGACAAGTTCACTTGAACTTCGAAAATGATCTCGGCATCCAGTAAGCCTTAGCCAGCCTAACGCGACAGCCCCTGTAGCTTTGATCGCAGCATTGCCTTCGCCGGCAATATGTCCGGAACCTCGTCACCATGGAGGACGGGTCATCGCCACGGCACGACAAGGTGCTTGGGCGCGTGCGTAGCAGCAGGGGCTGTTAGCGGAAGGACTAAGGGCGGCTTCCCACGGCGCGGCCGCGGTGCGCTTCCTTCAAGGAGCAGAGCTCTTCCGACGCAGCCACCGCCGGAGCCACGGCCGCCCGCCGTGGAA